CCTCTCCCCCCAATTGCGGGTATAGGATTACCCCAGGATCAGGCCAACAAGCCGTGTCCCCACACAGCGGCCTAACCAGACTGTGGTAGAACCCCCAGAGATTAGCCACAAATCCTTCAGCCCGGCACCTGCCGCGGTGCAACTCGGGCTTACTGCAACACTGCCAGTGCCAGCTATTGTGTGTGCTTTCATATTACTTGCTTCTTCTCTCTCTGCCTCTGTCTCTCTCTCTGTCTCTGTTTCTGTCTCTGTCTCTCTGTCTCTCTCTGTCTCTGTCTCTCTCTCTCTGTCTCTCTGTCTCTCTCTCTCTCTCTCTCTCTCTCTCTCTCTCTCTCTCCCTCTCTTTCTCTCTCTCTCTCTCTCACTGTCTGTCTCTGTCTCTCTGTCTCATCTCTCTCTCTCTCTCTCTCTCTCTCTCTCTCTCTCTCTCTCTCTCTCTCTCTCTCTCTTTGTGTGTGTGTGTGTGTGTGTAAAGCAAAGTTGGGTAACAGTTAAAAGTAGAGATATGTAAAAACAGAGAGATTGTCCGATAGAGAAAGAGAAAGAGAGAGCGAGAGAAAGAGAGAGAGAGAGAGAGAGAGAAAGAGAGAGAGAAAGAGAGAGGGATATATATAATTATATTATATTATATAGATAGATAGATAGAGAGTGTGAGAGGGGGGTCGGAGAGGGAGGAGGGAGAGAGGGGAAAGAAAGAAGAAAAATACTTGAGAAACAAAAGGAACCAGTCTGTGCTAAATAGTATTGGATGGTTCCAAAGCGCTAGACTACACAGTCATTTTTTCAGTATGGTTTTACGGCGTTTGCGACTGCATTTTAAGACACAGTCGCTGAAAAAGCATTAAAATACAGTAGCTTATCATATAATACATTGCACATGTATATAATATTGTCGCTTTTAAGCTCACGCGGGCTATCCCGAAAAATTATGTTTTGAGAAAAAGGAAGGTTACGATTTTGCCCCTTGTTCAGTTTCTTTAAAAGACAAGGAGAGTTTTCTCTATAACCAAACAAATATACACACCAATGCAACCAAACTTCTCCTATCCGTAGGGCAATGCCCACTTTTGGTGTAGGTCAAGATTTCTGGTTACCCCCTGAATCTGGGTTAGCCCGTTTGTCCTTAAAAGCGACCAATTAAAAAGCATTAAAATACAATAGTTTATAACTTAATAAATTGTTCATGTATCCAATATAAGCCCCTGTAAAACGGTGACCAGCTTATCTGTAAGCCTAGGGCAAGCTACTGTTTCTTGTGGGTACTGTTTACTGACTGACAGAACTCTTCAACACTTGTGGGCAGACAGGCATGAGAGGGAGAGCCGGGGAGAGAGAGAGGGGGGTGGGGGGAAGGGAGAGAGGGAGAGAGAGAGTGAGAGAGAGGGGAGAGGGGAGGGAGGGAGGGAGAGGGGAGTGAGACAGACAGACAGACAGACAGACAGACAGACAGACAGACAGACAGACAGACAGACAGACAGACAGACAGAGGGAGAGAGAGGGAGAGAGAGAGGGAGAGAGAGAGAGAGAGAGAGAGAGAGAGAGAGAGAGAGAGAGAGAGAGAGAGAGAGAGAGAAAGAGAGTCTATAAGTGTCTGTGTGTTCCCAGTAGGTATTGTGCTTGTGTTCTTGCTCAGGAAAACCTTCAAGACTCAAGACCCCCCACCCCCACCCCCCTGTTTAAGTCAACACACAGAGAGCAATGTTCCCAGCGAAGGCCGGGCGAGGAACCTTTGCCTATTTACCGACGTGTTCCGATCTCACTGACCGGCCGGCCAGAAATCGATTCTTCCACCACTTCAAAGTCAAGAGGTCCGCCGGATGACGTCACCGAAAATGTAATATTGCACGATAAGATGGTCGAAACTAAGGTCCCGGTAAACAAACAGAAACAAAAAACCAAACAAAATAAAATAAAATAAAACCAAAAGGAAAAAAACAACCTAAACACTCCCCAGTAAATAGTGTAGACTTACATTTGAGGTAAAGTTTTACTTTTCACTTAATAAAATAGAAGGGGGGGGGGGGGCTCTCGTGGCCTAGAGGTTAAGGTGTTCGCCTCTCATTCAAAGGTCCCGGGTTCGAATCCGAGTAGCGACAGAAACATTTTCTTCTTAAAAAATGTCTCTTTTCATCCCCTTTCCTGCTCTCTTGCAATGTTCTGTCGTCTGCTTTCGTCTTCATTTCTTCCCCCACCCCCTCACCCCCTTTGCCCTCTCCTCTGGGCTTCTGGCTCTTTCTGCAGCCTTTCTACTGCTACTCCTTGGCTCCTTCTTACTGCTGTCTTTCTGCCACACCCCTGATCTTCTGGTAGGAAAGATCGACACATAGCCTTCTCGGACAAGGGGAAAAAATCTCGGAGGGCCCGAGTGCAAGTCGCGCACATTAAAGATCCCTTATTGATCTAAAATCGATAAGAGTAGGCTTCGGTCTAAATGGTCAAAATTTCCTACCAATGTATAATGTATCCCACGCGCTCATATGACCTTACGCATTTGCGAGCACAGTAAAACACTGCCCCCCCCCCCACACACACACAGATTCACACACATACACACACACACACACACACACACACACACACACACACACACACACACACACACACACACTCACTCACTCACTAACTCACAAACAAAAAAATACACGCAATGATTTAGAGAAGGTGAATGCGAGAAAGACAGACAGAGAGAGAGAGAGAGAGAGAGAGAGAGAGAGAGAGAGAGAGAGAGAGAGAGAGAGAGAGAGAGAGAGAGAGAGAGAGAGAGAGAGAGAGATGGGGAGAGGGGGGGGGACAACATCTTTTCTTGCGCTCTCACCAACCACCAGGGCCTTACACGAGAAAAATATTACCGTAAACCATCATAAAACAAACACAACCCCTCTCCCCCCCTCTCCCCACACAAAACCCCCACAAAGACTGGTTCCTACCGATGGTGTGCACAACAACAACAAACAACACCACCAACACGAAGAACAACGACAACAACG